AAACATTTGTCCAACATACAACCTAATGGGGGAGACTTCAGAGATGACTGTCTGAGCTGGGCCCTGACTGTTCAGCAGGAATTGAACAGGTGGGAACTCAAAGAGCCAAATCATAGAGGGAAGAAGATCCCAACAAGAAGATAAGCTCAGGATAACAAAGGGGTTATCACTCAGACTCCAGGGCCAGCAGACATTGCCAGGAGCAGAGCAGGCCCCACCCAGGCCCACCAGAAACCTTCCAGATGGCTCCCCCACCCTCCTGGCCCTCTGTGGGCCAGGTGCAAACTCTCAGGAAGGAGAGCTGAGAAGCCCCAGGACTGCAGGATTAATCCAACCATGTTATGACCCACATCAGGGATGCCAGAAGCTTCCTACGCAGACTTCCCAGGCCCAAACATGGCAGGAGAAGCGCCAAAGACCGGAGCAAAAGATCCCGGGAGTGCAGGCTGAAGACAGAATATGATATTCTCTCCCCACATAACTCTGTTAGCATTGCCAGAAAAGGACACACGAGTTACTTCACACTCTGGCCACTTAAAAATGACACCCATATCAGATCCCATACTAGCCAGCTGCCAAAAAAAAAAAAAAGACACCTAGATTTGGCTCATTTCAAAGACATCACTACACTTGGAGCTTCTTTTATTCACCTCGGAAAATGCCTCCTAGGGAAAAAAGCTCCAAATGTATCTTGCAAGTAAAATGATGTGGGCAGCTTGGTTCCCGAACTCCGAGGAAACTAGGGGGAGGAAGCTAACATTTATGAGCACCTATGTGGAGCACCTGAGTGAGAGTGATCAGAGGTAGGCTCTGTGGTCCCGTAATTCTTAAGCATTGTTCTCACATGATCACATGACACAGGTATGATTATGCCTTTTACGGGTAACACACCAGACTCAGGCCAGCTCAGGCCAGTCGACCAGCTACTCTGCAGCAAAGGTGGATTGGAAGCCAAGTCTCTCCACCTCGAAAGCCAATTTCTTTCCAAGAGAGTTTTGTTCAGCTGGCATTTATTTGGCATCTACTATGTCACAGGTGCTTTACTAAACACCGAGGACAGTGAGGAGGAGGAACACAGTGCACATCCTACAGGGGCTGGCAACAGGTCCAGGGGTATGTGGCACGCCCCCCTCACACACATACCTGCATGCTGTGGGGAGTGCTTACTGCAAGCCCACATTACATCAGCAGCTTGTAAAAATAAATAACACAATGGAAAAAAAAGTTTCCTTGTCAAACCTGAAGTCTCCAGCAAGGTACAGGCAGCCTGCCCTGATCTGGCCCCTGCATGCTTCTCCAGCCTTGGTCCCTCACCCCCTCAGGCTTAGAGCCAATGCATACATGGGGCTCCTCCAGTCAAGAATGCTCTTCCTGCACCAAGCAAACCTTCCGCTGTTGGGAAGCCTTCACCAAGCCCTCCTAGCCGTTAGGTTCCCAGAACACTTCTGTGTCTGGAGGTCCTGTCCTCAGAGCCCTGGGCCCAGGGTTGAAAGTGTCTGTCCACTTGTCCACAGCTCCTAACACAGTGTGCAAGCCCTTGCAGCCAGGGGCTGGGTCTCTCTACCCCTGCAATACCCAAACCCAACACAGCCCTTAGGACACAACTGGCATTGCTCAGCACTCCACAGTTCCCAGGGCTTGGTCCTGGGCCTGCTTTTCTTCTCCCTCTAATCACTCTCACTCAGTGACCCCAGCCTCCCAGGGCCCCCACGAGGGATAAGGACTAGCATCCTCCAGTGACCCCAGCAAGGCAGTGTCAGGGAAGGAATGGGGCAGGAGGGACCCTCGATCCAGGGCTGAGCACAGAGAATCTTCTCTTGAATGCAACAAATAGAATTAAAGAAACTCCCAAAAAGAAATACTCAGCCTGTAACCACCCTCACCCTCACTCTGTTTTGATGAATAAAACATTCCAGCAGTTTATTCCTAAGAGCATCTGAAAACAGAAATTTTCATCAACTCTTACCTTGTAGGTTTTATCCATAGAAGTTGAGAGAAGCATATGGCTCTTAGAAAGGACTGGACACCACTGAATGCTGTTGACAGGGCCCCTGTGGCTTCTCAGATGGAAAAGCACTTTCCTGGGAACCTTGGTTTCTTTATACTGACTGTCCAAATATGGCTGAATAAACTCAGACACTCTGGGGGCCACACAGAGAGGGGCAGGGGCACACCCCACAGAAGGACCCTGTGGCTCTGCACCTTTATTCTTGCATGTTTCCGTGCTTAATGCTTGCTGCTGTCTTAGTCTTTTTGGGGTATACGGTACCACACAGTCCTCGCGCCTTTTCCTCTGAAAAGAGGTGCCATTTTTACCTATGGTTTCAGGTTTGCTTTGAGCATGGAAAGATAACTTGGGGAAGTCCCAAGAGGGTTTTACTTGCTTCAAGTGGGCAGCTGCCAGGGGCATGTGGCTGGCCGGAGCACCAGTCGTCCACAGAGAAGGATGAGAAGACTCACTGGTGGGGAAGGTGACTTCAGGCTCCTTCCTGGGCCACTGTAGCCTCTGGCTAGGACAAGATCCCCAACCACCTTTTCCAAGCCGAGCCAGTGGGAGACGATGGCTCCCCGGGTCTTCACGAAAACTATGCTTCGTGGACTGCGCCTCCTCTTTTGTTCTAACCAGGATACCAGATGCAAAATCTTGCCCAGGAGGTTCAGCCACACCAGAAGCATCTTTCATCTGGCCAGCAGCATTAAAACTTCCCACAGTCTCAGTCTCAGCCTCTGAGTCAGAATCATCATAAGACACCAACGAAGCCATTGAAGACATGGTTTCCTTCTGTCCTTTGAGGGCAAACTACCTAAGACCAAACAAAGTCAAGAGTCAGAAAATGTGCATGAAGTAATATTTATGTAGTTAAAAGAAAACATGTCACCTAGCAAATCCAAGATTTCAAACCCCCAAGTATAAACACATAAAAAATAAGGGCTTTTTTATATAACAGGCATAATCGGAAGATGTAATTTTAAAAATAAAAATTATGGGGCCCACTAAGAGGAAGAGAGAGAGCCAGTAGAAAGAAAAGGTAAGGGCACTGCAGAAAGATGCTAAGGAAGGGGGGGGTGGCACTGACAGTCACTAGTACAATAGCTCCAAGACGACAGGACTTTCTGTGCGTTTTGTTCGCTATTAGATCCCGAGCGTCTAGAAATAAATATTTGTGAAATACAGCCTGGTGGGAGGGGGGCACAGAAGAAGTCAAAGAAATAGGATATCCTCATTCAACAGACATTTCCTGATTACCTACTCTGTGTCAGGCCCTGTGTGGTTGGGTCTGGTGTGGGCCGCGATTAAACACTAAACACGGACCCTGCCCCAGAAGCCAAAGACGGATGAAGGAAACAAACAAGAGATGACCAGAGATGGGTTCTGAAGGATGAATAGGAGTTAGCGGTGCTGTCCATAGTAAGAGGCAAGGGTGGGCCCGAGCACTGCGCTTTCGGAAGGAAGTGGAGATGAAAACAAGGCGAGCGGGGATGACAGACCCGCGCGAAAAGGCGGGAAGCGCTCCGGGCGCTGCCGGGTCCCGGTTCCCGCCCGCCCGGGGCCCACAGCTCACCACAAGCACCGGAAGCGCTCGGCTCTCTCGGAGGCCAGCGGGCCGGCCCCCAGTCCACCGCCCAGTCGCGTTCCTCCGCGACGCCAAGGTCGCCAGCCAATCAACGGCAGGCTCTGTCCCGCCCCTGCGCGAACAGCCAATGACGGCGCAGCCAGGCCGGAAGTTGTTCCGGCCGGATGGCGTTTCCACGGACGCCCAGGAGGCGACCCGCGGCTGACCCCGCACCGCTGCCGGGCACTGTATGGCCGGGTGAGTGAGGGGTTGGAGGCCGGGGAGGTGAAGTCAGGGGATGAGGGAGGGAGAGAAGGACGCCTGGGCGGCGCCCAACGACCTTGCCCTCCCAGGGTCGCCTGCGCGCCAGGATCCGGGGTATGCTCCTCAGAACCCGGCTCGCGGCCCGCCGGGTCGTAGACTGCGAGGGACGCGGAGGCTCCCACTGCCCCCCTCGCCCATTTCCTCCAAGTGCCGCCTACACGGCCTGACTCCCACTCCCGCCGGCATCGACCCTTCGTCCTGCTGATTCTTCCCCTTTCCCAAAGAGAGAGGCCACTACTTTTATTTAGTGTCTGCCATGTGCACTCAGTCCCCTCAACGGTAACGTTAGGAGGCTTCTTTATGCCCTTTCTTTCTTTCTTTTTTTTTTTTTTTTAAAGATGACAGGTAAGGGGATCTTAACCCTTAACTTGGTGTTGTCAGCACCACGCTCTCCCAAGTGAGCCAACCGGCCATCCCTATATAGGGATCCGAACCCGTGGCCTTGGTGTTATCAGCACCACACTCTCACGAGTGAGCCACGGGCCAGCCCCTTTATGCCCTCTCTCAGATGAGGAAACCTAGGGAGGAGCAGAGAAGTAATAAGACTTGCCCAAGGTCTCCAAGCAAGAAAATGCCCAAGCTGGGATTGAAACCCAGGTCTCTCTGACCCTAGAACTCATGATCTTTCCACCGCACTGCGCCGCCTCAGTGAACCACAGCCGCAGAGAATTTACAGCGCGCCTTTTCTGCCCCCCACGACTACACATAAACGCAGTTACTCACACTGATGCTGAGGGTGGGGAAAGGGAAGAGGGTGGGGAGGTTATATGGAGGCCATCGTGGGGTAAGGAGTGGCTGATGCAATGACCGGTTAATGGCTGGGCGCTCAAGAGGGTTTCATTGGTCTCCACCCGGCCCCCCCACCTACTCCACCCCTGATTGCAAGTCTCATCAAGGAGGTTGGTCAAGAGGCTCAAATGTTTCTGAGAATCTGAATGATTTCTAAGAAACCGTAAGTGCGGGAAGCTGAAGGGTGGGGTAAATAGGAAAGAGCTCTTCTCTAAGCCTTTTCTAAAAAGGAAACTGAAAGAAAGAGGGGGAGACTATTAAAGACTGGCTGGCTGGGCAGGGCAGTTTCAGCTGCTCAACTGCCCAGCGTGACCAGTGGCCACCTCTGCAGGGTCTTTTGCAACCTAGGTATGTATTGTCATTTTTGCCAGGCTTAGAGCTTGTTAGTGTTTTTTACCAGCCTCTTACCAAAGTGCTGGAAACTTTGGTTTAGGGGGTAAAGGATTATCTCTCTTAGATGTAGGGTGTTGTACATTTTATTTCATTCTATTGACCCAAAATTCAGGTGATTGACTGCTCCCATGGAGAAAAGAGATACTGGATGAGCAGTTTGTCTGCTTAGATTCATAGCTTGCCTTCCAGTAACTTCATGTTGGCTGTCATATTCTTCATTATTACAGTCTCCTTGAATAGTCAACATCCAAACATATTAGCATTCCTATTGTGGTACCCAAAAGTATCTAATGCCTGGCATCATATAAATTGATGTCTTTGCTTTTTAAGATAGTTTATTTTATTATTTGGATGGGAAAATAACCTTTCCTCTTAGTGTTTAAACGTGGAACATAGGGCCGGCCCGTGCGCACTGGAGAGTGCACCGCTTGGGAGCGCTGCGGCGCTCCCGCCAAGGGTTCGGATCCCATGTGGAGACCGGTTCCCGCTCACTGGTTGAGCAAGGTGCAGATGCAACACCGAGGGTTGCGATCCCATTGCCGGTCCCCGGTGCGGGCGCAACACCGAGGGTTGCGATCCCGTTACCCGTCAGTAAAAAAGACAAAAAGGAAAAAAAAAAAACGTGGAACATAATCTGTTCCAACGTTTGGGGTCCTTTGGGAATTTGCCAGTGCAAACTCATTGTCACCTACACTCTGGCGCCAGGATGTGAAGGTTTGTATCCCACCTCCTGATGGTATTCTAGGCATCCAGAAACTTTCCTGGGCCATCTGGCTCTTCCTGGCTGCTCCAGAATTGGCTCTCTTGAAACCACTTTTCACCAAATTGCAGAATTGGTGTATCCTGATCTTATCTGTGAGATGATTTTTGCTACAGCCAAAGTCATTATCATGTTATTCTGTTAAACAGTTCTATAATTCTTCCTGTTCTTCATTCCAATTCTGTACCCAGTTTCTTTAAATGCTGTTATGCTCCTCTAGAACAATGGAATCTTTCAAAATGAGCACAAGATTTAAGTTTTTGAAGAAGGGGAATTGGGAGTTAAGTTTTAAGAGTTTATTTTAGCTTTAAAGGTGTGCTGTGTTAGAGTTCAGCCTTATAAAACCAAGGTCACAGGTTCAGATCCGCATACCTGCCAGATGCCAAAAAAAAAAATAGATACTTAAATGACTACTGTGATTTGCTGTGGAATAGGCAGTTTTTCTCTTTAGACTCCCAGTACCTTTGTTTAGAGGAGTAATAAATTACTTCACATAAAACTTCATTTCTTTCTTTTATAGTATTTGTTAAATAGATAAAGGAACTTTCCTTAACAAAGGCAATTTATGTGGTAAACCATTTTTTTTCCTTTTTTTTTTTTTGGCTCCCCTTTGGGGAATCAAACTGGTCTCCCAGGTAGAAAACACTTAAGACAATGGTCCTTAATCTTTTGGTATCTCAGATCTCTATGAAAAGGTAATGAAGCCTTTTCAAACTCTCAACTTTGATGTAATTTCAGAGGTTCAGAAACTCCAGGTTAAAAACCTCTGAAGTTAAGCTGAATTCTAAAAGTTAATTACAAATAAAGGAGAATGTTAATTAGGTGGGTGAAAAAAGAAGAATACAGTAAACAGGGTAAATGGATATATGCATGAATTGAAGATTTGCTCACTTAAGAAGTTGCATCACACACACACACACACACACACACAGAGAAGATTTAAATAGTGTGGGTGATTCCCACACAGTGAGTATATGCTTTGTGATCATGAGAGAAGGGAGACCTCATCTACCATTCCCCCAGTCTCATTTAATTCTGTGTGCCTCTTCTTAAATGGGATTCTGATCTTTAAAGTTAAATGTTTTTCCCTGTAACATGGACCCTAAATGCAGGCCCAATTCTTCTAGCTCGTCTTATACCAAAGAAACAGTTATCTGCTCTGTTGCAGTGGGAGATTGGCTGTCCAGGTCTCATCTGGTCATTCTACCTGTCACTTTCCCTAGGAATTTTTAAGGGTAATTTTTTTTTTTTTTTAAAGATGACCGGTAAGGGGATCTTAACCCTTGACTTGGTGTTGTCAGCACCACGCTCACCTAGTGAGCTAACCGGCCATCCCTATATGGGATCCGAACCCGGGGCCTTGGTGTTATCAGCACCACACTCTCCCGAGTGAGCCATGGGCTGGCCCTTTTAAGGGTAATTTTGATCTAACTTGATTTTGGTCCTATTTGAAGGACCTTACTGCTACTGCCTGTTGGCTTTTATGCATGGCACCACATTTTGGAAGGATGTGGTAAACCAGAGGGAACACTAGAAAGACTGACCATGGGCCGGCCCGTAGCTCACTCGGGAGAGTGCGGTGCTGATAACACCAAGGCCCCGGGTTCCGATCCCATATAGGGATGGCCGGTTCGCTTACTGCCTGAGCGGGGTGCTGATAACACCAAGTCAAGGGTTAAGATCCCCTTACCGGTCATCTTTTCAAAAAAAGAAAAAAAAGAAAGACTGACCATGATGGTGGACAGATGTTAGCAATGGGTGAAGAAACCAGACAAGGGATATGAAACCTGAAGAAAATGCCAGGAAACCGGTCCAGCTCCCCCAACTCAACTCAGCTCATTGTCAGGAGGTTAAACAAGAGGCTGTCTAAAGTCCAGATGAGGAAATTAACCTTCAACTGGAACAAGTGCTTGCAAAGATATTATAAGTGGACACTTATAATATCTCAGAGGAAAAAGAGTTGAACTAGATGACTTACAAGATTTATTTATTCAGTAAATGTTTGTTGCTAAGCTCACTGTGTACTAGGTACTAGAAGTACGTGGAAGAATAAACTCAGTGCTTGCTTTCACTGTCTACTGGAAGAGGCACAAATAACTAAGATGCAGCGTATGTGCTTTAATAAAGTTACTAAGGGAATGCTTGGGGATCACAGAGGAGGAGTGACCATCTTGGCACCAGAGGCACAGCTGTCAGGTAGGCTGTGAAGAAGAGCTGAGGTTTGAATTAGAAAGATACTCAGCATGTCCAGGCAGAGGAGGGTGTAAGCCATTTCAGGCAGCAGGGGAAGCTGGAATTCTGAGAGAACACATGGTTGAGAGGGGCTTTGGCATCAGATTTTGCTACTCCCTGGTGTTGGAACCTCAGAAGGGTTCTGAGTTCCCTGGGCTGTCAGCTTCTTATATGCTAATGCAGAGTATATACAGTAACCCTCAACTTTGCAAATTGGGAGAATTTGAGATGATGTGTAAAATATCTAGACATGATGTTTGATCATTTGTAGCTAGAAATAATTTTTTATTACTTTGTTATTTGATATGGGCAAAGGCCCCCAGAAAGAAATGGGTAAGAACTAATTCCAGCTTGTTGTTAGGGAAGGAATGGGGAGCCCGAGTGATTCTCCTCTCTAACTCTAGGCAGAAGGTACTTCCACATTCCTACTCTTTTTCACAGGCTTCTCTAAACTGGTTGCTTTGTTGTATGAGTCAGTTACCTTACCAAATTTCCCTTTCTGGGAATTGAGGTAATTCTCAGCAAGGAGGAGAAAGAAACTGGCTGCTGCCCCATCCTGGTTTCAGTATTGTGGTTTCATTGACTTAGATTAAGATTGGTTTAGTTGATTAAGACTAGCTTAACATTTTTTTTTTAGATTAACATTGATTTAACACTTTTTTTTAAAAAAAGATGACCGGTAAGGGGGTCTTAACCCTTGGCTTGGTGTTGTCAGCACCACGCTCAGCCAGTGAGCTAACCGGCCATCCCTATCAGGATCTGAACCCGTGGCCTTGGTGTTATCAGCACTGCACTCTCCCAAGGGAGCCACGGGCCAGCCTTGGTTTAACACTTTTAAAACAAATATTTAACAAATGTATAAATAAAAGTAAATTACACCTCAAATTTGTGTTTGGTTCAGAATTAAATACTTTGTAGGATAACATAGGCTCTAGGGTCAAACTACTTGAGTTTGGCCATCTCTGCCACTTACTTGCTGTGTTATCTTGGTCAAGTTTTTTTAACCCCTCTGTGCCTTATCTGTGAAATGGAGATAAGAAATCTACTTCAGGATTGCTGTAAGACTTAAATGAATTAATATGTGAAAAGTGCTTAGATCAGTACCAGATACAGAAGTGCTCAGAGTTAGCTGCTCTGTGATTAGCCTCGATGTTGTTCTCATTCAAGGTATTGCAGCAAGTTAAGAGGAAGCCGGGTTCAACCATGCCCTAGAACCCTAACAAATAAAAATAAATCCAGTAACAATACTCGTTGTAATTACGTCTTGCTTTACAGTTTACAAAGTGCTCCTATGTCATTTTTTTTCTCATTTTGTTCTCATAACAACCCCTGAGGTAGGCGAAGAGATTCCTGGTGGTGCCATTTTTATAGATGAGGAAACTGACACTCAGAAGGGGGAAGTGACTGACCCAAGAGGGGACTGATGGGGACCCAGTCTCTGCCTGCCCTATGTCTTACCTTTTTCAAAGTTGGTGAAAAATGACTAATAGAAGGCCCAGGCACACCTTCAGAGGTTTGGTTAAATAAAGCAGCATGTGGAATGGACATGCCATATATAGTCCTTACCTCATTTGGAACCCAGAATTGATAAGGCCCTGTCTTCCACCCCAGATCTTGCTTTGTCTGAGAATTTGCCCCTAAGGCAATTAGGATAAAGAGCAAATAGCAATTTGCCAAATGTTTTTAGCTCTAGTGAACTTAGGTTTATTAAAGCACATTGATATTTATTCCCTGAGCAAACACAAGTCCCAACTGTGTCCTGGGCACTGGGTGAGGCACAGTGGCACCACAGATGCAAATTGCTCAGACTAGGAGGGATCCTCTTTTGCAGACCTTAAGTCAGTACATCATAGCAACTCCTTTGGTCCTCATCGTCATCATTTGTTCTTCTTTTCCTTTTTTCCATGGCCCCAAGTTTCTGCCTGTATTTTTATTAATGTTATATTTTTCATGTCCTGTAGTATGACTCATCTCAAAACCTTTTTGGAAAGAAGGACTAGATACAGGAAAGGAAAAACAGCCACAATGGTGGGGGGTTTTGTTGTTTTGGGGGTTTTGGCATCTGGCCGGTACAGGGAACCTTCGAACTCTTGACCTCGGTGTTACAGGGCTGCTCTGTAACCAACTGAGCAACCCGGCCAGCCCCTCGATTGCAATGGTTTCTTAATTGCCCTTTTTCTCTCTCCTTTTTCCCTACACAGTCTTGTGTCAACCTCTGAACAAATCCTTTGACACGCTAGCCAGCCGTCAACTTAGGTCTTAGAAGATGGCAGACAGGCCCAATGGCAAGCCCTGTGCCTCTCCGCTGGAGCTGTTCAACAGCATAGCTGCTCAAGGGGAGCTCGTGAGGTCCCTCAAAGCCACAAAGGCAAAAGAGGTACCTGATTTTGTTGGATTCTCCCTCCACACATGCATCTGAGCCTCCCAAGTCTATACGGTTGTGTTGCTTTAGGGTAGACTGTTCCAGGATTCTGTTCCTTCAGTGACTGAGATGTTTTGGTTATAATTTTAAATATATTTTTCCTTTTATCAACATTATGATGGCTGTGCTCTAAAGAGTCAGTGGTCCTCAAAGCCTCTGTGAAATATAGCAGTCCTCTGACCCACCTTTCTCCATGTCCTGCTCCCAGACACAAGTATTTTCAATTCCTTTAGATGATTATTTGGGTGTGTTCCTCCCCATCTCTGATATCATGCTTATTATATTGCTACTTGTTAATCTTCAAGTTTGGGGCTTTCACTGTAGAAATGAGGAACTCGCACTGTTAGAAACACCTGCTGTCGGGGCCGGCCCGGTGGCGCACTAGAGAGTGCGCCCCTTGGGAGTGCGGTGGCGCTCCCGCCGAGGGTTTGGATCCCATGTGGAGACCGGTTCCCGCTCACTGGCTGAGCGCGGTGCGGGCGCAACACCGAGGGTTGTGATCCCGTTGCCGGTGCCCGGTACGGGCGCGACACCGAGGGTTGCGATCCCGTTACCGGTCAGTAAAAAAGACAAAAAGGAAAAAAAAAAGAAACACCTGCTGTCAATATATACTGGGAGACTGGAACTCCAGCCTCACAGTATATATTGTAATTGTAGTTAGGTCAGTGTTAGTATTGACATTATAATAACTATGTAAACACTACAGATACCTGAACTGTTAAGTGTACTATGAGTACTTTTCCTTTCCTGTCCAGCTTATTTTCTCTGGCGTTAACGTTTGTCTTAATTTTTGTTTGCTTGGCTTTTTTTATGTACTAATGATAATGTATCTCCTTAGCTCTCCCACAGTTAGATGAATCTCCTCTCAACATACTCACATTAACTACCCTATCAAGTTTATCTTCTTGAAAAAGTCCTTACCAAGACCTTGTGCCTGCTTCCCCTCTGGACTGGTGGCCCTTGCCTCTCACGCTGCCCGTCCTGGGGTCCTCTTTTACTGTCAGCCGAGGGGCTCCCCTCACCTCTGTCTATTGTGCGCCTGTTTCCTGATCCTGTGTCATATTCCTCCTAGCTTCACTCTGTTTTGGCAGAGCAAACGTTCCAATGATTTCTTAAAAAGTTAGTGCAAAGGGAATAATTTTTTTGAGATCTTACACATCAGAAAACATGTTTATTTTACCTAAAACTTGACATAGTGAAGCCAGGTATAGAGTTCAGGATGATTTCCCTAGGATTCTGAAGCTGTTGCTCCAGTATCACCTAGTTTCTGGGGTTGCTGTGGAAAAGACAGACACTATTCCTCTGTTTTTTCTCTCTAGAGGTTGGCAGGATCTTCTCTTTTTCTCAGTGTTCTGAAATTTCTTGGGATGGAGGCTTAGTGCACCTTTCAGACTAGAAACTCAAGACCTTTAATTCTCAGAAATCGTATTACTTCTTTGAACTCTTCTGTTTTCTCTCTTCTCTCTTTATAGACTTTTTTTATTGAGAAAGTATTCCTCTGATTTTCTTCTTTTTTTTTTTTTAAAGATGACCGGTAAGGGGATCTTAACCCTTGACTTGGTGTTGTCAGCACCACCCTCAGCCAGTGAGCGAACCAGCCATTCCTATATGGGATCCGAACCTGGGGCCTTGGTGTTATCAGCACCGCACTCTCCCGAGTGAGCCACTGGGCCAGCCCTGATTTTCTTATTTTTTGACTTTGTGTTCTTCTTTCTGGGATATTTGTTCAACTCCCAACCCTCCTCTTGTTTTTCATTTCTCCTATTTTAACTACCAAGAGCTCGTTTAATCTCTGAATTTTCCTTTCTTATCACATCCTCATCTGATTTCATGAGTACAGGACCATCCTTTTATCTCTGGGATCTTGATGACAGTTCTCCTAATGTTCTTTGCCCCCTTTATAATCTCAGTTTTCTCTAAGTTAATTTTTTTTCCATCTGCCTCAAATGGTTGTTGTCTCTTGGCTGTCCGCTGGTGTTTTAGAGGGAAGCACTAAAAGCTATTGGGTACTCTGTGCATGGGGGAGGAATTTAATCAATGTAGGTTTGTGGGGGCGCCTCCCACTCATAAGATTAAAGCCTGATAAAGATCTTTTAATGAAACACGGTGTTTGCAGGGCCTCATCGTGAAGGGATGATGGCAAGGCCTCATCGTGGGAGAAGATG